CAAAGAGGAGGAGACACAGAGAGGAAAATCTTCTGTCTGATGATTCACTCCCCAAGTGGCTGCAATTGCTGGAGCTTAGCTGATCAGAAGCCAGGAGCTAGGATCCTCTTCCAGACTTCCTGGGCTGCTGCAGGGTCCCAAGTCTTTGGGCCATAAGTGAGAAAAGTGCGCTAGGTAGAATACCCTGGGGCTGCAGACCTGTCCCTGGGAGAACACACTTGTTACTTAGTGTTTGTAAAGCTCTTGGCTTTGCATTGGTGTTTGAGTTCTAGCCACAAGACCACATCACAGTGACTGATACGTAAACAAGCAGGAGAGTTGGAGGGTAAAATGCAGGTAAAAACAGCTGTGATCCGAGGCGGGATGTGGCAGAGCGGTGCTGCTGAGCTGTGTTCCCTACATATGCTTCTATTTGAGCTCTTAGATGCAGAGCTCTGGTATGTAGAAAGTGCTCTGTTGGTTAAATGGTACATTTTCTGCTTTTTTTTTTTTAAATACAAATAGTATTCCCCCCTTTTTGTCTGACTTTATTTGATATGAAAAATATTTTTTAAAAGATATCAAGTCAGTCTCAAGCTAGCATTTTGAATATTGTGAATACAAACATAAGGTCATGTCATTTGATTTCATTGGTACTGCATTAATATATTTTGATTATTGCCATTCTCTTTCAGAGGCATTTCCTTCAGTCCTTTGAAGGATTGAAGATGAAAGCAATTGAATCTTGTTTAATTGCCTAATTAACATTATAAAGCATACTAAAGGTCACAACCCAGATGACAGAAGCTCCTTTCTGTTTTTTTTTTTTTTTTTTTTTTTGGTTGGCGTTGATATGATCAAATCTTAACTTCTCTTTCCCCTCCTTTTACCAGTGTCTTGAATGTAAGTTTGTCAGCCTAGGTTTCTGTAAGGCCTGCACCTGTTGGTGCTAGAACCCAAAGAGGAATAAGAGGCATCTTTGCCCAAGTAGTCACCTGGTCAGGACACAGTGAGGGAGCCAGCTGCTGGGGATGTAGGAGGCCCAGAGAATCCTGGTCAGATTGGTGTCTGCAGTGGGTCTGAAGTAGGAGGACAGCGGAGACGTTGGGGACACTGCTTGTGTGTGTGTGTGTGTATTTTTCCATCCTTAGAACAACATCCTGATTTGATCTGCATTTTAAACAGGAGAAGGTCTTTGTCCAAGGGCACATAGCCTATAAATGATGCTGGTGGTAGAGGCACTCAGGCAGTCTGATGGTAGAGCCATTACTGTCAATCCATAGCCTTAGCTGAATGGGGTTTGGGTAAAAGACGAATGACCTATGGACTCTCAGGAGGTAAATGGAGAGGCCATAGTGAGGCCTGTGGAATTGGTCTAGGGCCATTTTGCCAAGGCCCTGGAGCTTCATGCTTCTAAGAGGAATGGGTAATACAAGTCCTAGCCAACATGTGCCCGGATTGCATGGTTCCCTGTTCCTGTGCGATGTGTCAGATGAGAAGTCATACGGTGCAAGTTTTTAAATAGTAGAGTCCCGTTGTTTATTCCCTGCCCTGTATCTTTAAGCTCTCCTGAGTTTCTGGCCTTGATGCTCCCAGTTCAGGAGGATGCAGTCTGAACTGTTGCCATCCTCTTCCTCTGGCCCTTGTTCCTTCTTTCGTGCCCTCTGTAATTCAACTTCTGGAGTATTTCCTGATTGGTTGTCTATATGCACTGTGTTTATCTTTCCATCGTTTTCTTATTATGAATTTATTTTATTTTTGTTTGAAAGGCAGAGTTACAGAGAGAGGAGAGACACAGAGAGATCCTCTGTCAGCTGGTTCACTTCTCCAGTGGCCACAACAGCTGGAGCTGGGCTGATCTGTAGCCAGAGCTTCCCACGTGGGTTCAGGCCGCAAGAACTTGAGCCATTCCCTGCTGCTTTCCTAGGCCATTAGCAGGGAGATGGATTGGCAGAGGGGCAGCTGGGACACGAACCAGTGCCCCTGTGGGATGCTGGTGCAGCCGGCGAAAGCTTAGCCAACTATGCCACATTGTGAGTCCCCTTTCTCTCCGTTTTGTCATTTTGCCTCTACTCCTTTCCACTCCCCTCTGTGCTCTCCTACTTCCCTGGAGTCGTCCTCACTCAGGTAGTAACACTTAGCTCTTTGTTCAGTCTGATGAACACTTTCCAATGTAGCATTCCAAACTGATTCTCAACCAGGGATGGTCATTTACCTTAGAGAATTTTTGGAAACACCAGAGAGATTTTGGTTGTCAGTTTTGGGCAGTGATGCTGGGGACAGCTCCCGTGCAGAGGGCTGTGGTGCTGGCTCGCCTCTTACGGAGCCCAGCCCAGGTCCTACTGCTGGGCCATACCAGGCCCAGAAGTCACTGTAGGGAGTCTGAAGACAGTACTGAGCCTGCACAGCATTCTGTCACAGTGTCTCTGTCCCCTGAGCCTATAGCTGGCCTGGACTGTCTGGGTGTGGTTCTCTTCTGACTTTTTTCTTCAGTCCATTCCCAGTTCCTTCCTGACCAGTTGCTGTAGATGACTCTTCGCCAGCCTTGATCCATTTCTTTGCTGTTTAGGGCTCTTTCTCTCGTCCCTCAGCTCTGCCCTTTCCTCCAGTTCTGGGGTTAACCTCACCGGGCCAGGGACTCCACCTCCATAGGCTCAGTTCTAGCCCTGTTGGTGCTTCCTACACAGGTCCTCCCAATTCAGTGAGCTCACAACAGTGCAGTCCACGTGTGGCTTTTGTGCACACCTGCCCCTTGCATTGGCTGGATGTGTGCACCTCAGCCCAAGTAGTCATTCTAACCTTATACTGCAGCCCTTTCCCTCTGGCTTCCCTGCCTCTATTCCGGCTCACACTGCCCTGGCAGCATGGGGGAGAGAAGAGGAAAAGAAGGGTGTGGAGGTTGGGGTTGCAGAGGAGGTGTTTAAGGCTGACAGTCTTCCTTCAGTTTCGAGTGCAAAGGGAAGCTAACTACTGAGTATGGCATGTGTAATCTTGGTGGCTCAGCCCAATGGTTCCTCTTTGGGAGTAGTGCTCTTCTCCAAAGTGTTGTGAGTTTGGACATTATGATGGGGGAGCAGAAGTCACAGACAGTGTTTACAGCTCAGTGACGCTAACTTCCTGTCATGGCCCAGATCATCCCATGCTGTAGAGAACTGTCCAGATGCCCCAGTGTGCCCTCTTTAAGAAGTGGCATGTTTGATTTTAGCTTTTGCCTGGAGAGGTGAAAAGAGGAATACCAAGCACCAGTTCTGGATAGTACTTATTTTGGGCAGTGGGAAGTAAGAGAGGAATTGAATAGTAATAAACACAGAAATGCAGGGGAGAGTTTAAAGGCAGCGATGAATTATACATGCATTAAGAAATTGTAGGCACGAATGAGGAAGGTTGTGTTGAGTTTCTGTGGCATCCTTCTCATCTCAGGAGTGACTCACACTTAGTCCCTGCCTCTCATTCCCACAGCCTCGAGCTGGGTCCCCCTTCTTGGCAGACCTACAGCCTGCTTTTTTCTGTTCCTGCACTGCAAGGTCCTTGGTTTCGCAGCTTGCCCTGCATTTGGGCAATTTTGCCATCTCATGACCCAGCTTTGGCACCTCACTACCTAGCTTCCTTTGCAAAAAACAAAAACAAAACAAAACAAACCCCCCCCCCAAAAAAAAAGAATTTCAAGTTGCATCGCAAAGATGAAGCTGATGACAGGAGCAACAACAGGATGAGTAGATTCTCATATGGGAGGTACAGCGCTAAACTGCTTCTGTACATTATTTATTTAATCCTCACAAAACCTCTATGAAATAACTGCTGTGGCTACACTGCTATTTGTAGTTGAAACAGTTGAGGATTAAACAAAGTGAACAGTCTACCACCATGCATCACTATTCCGTGTACCTGGGGTGTAGGTGGTTGAAAAAACTTTCCCTCCCTTTCATTTTGAAACTGTTCTTATTTTAGGTTTACAGCACAGCTGAGAGCTCCTGTGTGCCCACTGCCCCACAGTTGCATAGTCGCCTGTCAGCGTTCTCTGCAGAGATGCGTTTGTCTCAGTGAACTGACATTGACACATCATGTCATCCTAGGGTTCACTGCTGGTGCACACACTGTGCATTTTGACAAAGAAATAATAAACGGTGTGAATCCACATCCACTGTCCTAAAAACTTCTCTCTGTGCCACCTGTGCGTCCCTCCATCCCACAGGAATTCTTCTCATGTCTCTATCATATGTCCTTTGCATTTAAGACAATAACTACTAAGCTCAGATACTCAGATTGCAGCAGGCAGTCACAGGAGCCCACAGAGTTCTGATCGCGAAGTTGTGATAACTTCATGAGAAATAGACTGTGCCTTGTGCCACTAAGCTTCCTTCCTGAGATCCTGCCTGGCTGGTGGGATTCTGTCTGGTGAACTGTGCTGAAGATAGGGTGTAACTAGCTCATTGTTCCTGCCTTCTGTCCTTATTGCCCAGGGAGCATTCTGGACTTTCCCATTCACAGCCCAGCAGTGGGATTTTCTGTGGGCGTGTGGTGGATTTGACTACATGCCCATGCTGTTATGTGATAGACCATTTCAGAAGAGAATTGAGGAGGAGGCCGACCTGTTTGCTGCCTTCTCTCTGGGATTCTGAGCAGCCTGTAACAGAGGGCTTTGGGACCCTCTGAGATACCAGAGTGGTTTGTTTTTGAAGGGAACCCTGGAGTTGCCTGCTGTTGTTTTTCTGTGTTAGGAAACCCTGTGCCATGATCTGAGTACTGAAACATTTAATTGCACCGTAAAGGATGTGTAGTTTTCCAAAGCTTGTTGGAATGTATTTGAGCAGGTGAAAAATACCAGAAAATAAATAAATAATGTTGGCACAGCATTATATCAGAATAAGCTAGTAAATGTTTTCTGATCCATTCTGGTATTTATTCCAGTGGTGGAAATCTTGACACAGAAGCATTGTCCCTCTGGCATGAATGAGGCAGCACGTACAACAGCTTTGCTTTTGAATCTGTGTGTTAAATCTGTCTTTTTGTTCCTCTTCCAGAAGCCCCTTGTGCCACACCACTAATCTGCAGCTTCGGGAGGCCGGTGGACTTAGAGAAGGACGACTACCAGAAGGTGGTGTGCAACAATGAGCACTGCCCATGCGGCACGTGGATGCACTTGCAGTGCTTCTACGAGTGGGAGAGTAGCATCCTGGTGCAGTTCAACTGCATCGGCCGGGCCCGCAGCTGGAATGAGAAGCAGTGCCGCCAGAACATGTGGACCAAGAAGGGCTACGACCTGGCCTTCCGCTTCTGCTCCTGCCGCTGCGGCCAGGGGCATTTGAAGAAGGACACAGACTGGTACCAGGTGAAGCGGATGCAAGAGGAGAAAAAGAAGAAGTCTGGGGCAGAGAAGAACACGGGGAGGCCTCCAGGGGAGGCCGGTGAGGAGGCCAAAAAGTGCAGGCCCCCGAACAAACCTCTGAAAGGCCTGAGCCACGACCTCCCACGGCGGCATTCCATGGACCGGCAGAATTCCCAGGAGAAAGTCAGCGCCGTGGGCTATGGGGCCCGCTCGCCTTGTGCCTCCCCTGGGCAGTCGCCACCTACAGGGTATCCCATCCTCTCTCCCGCCCATTTCGGTGGCCCACGATCCTCCAGATACCTTGGGGAATTCTTAAAGAATGCCATCCACCTGGAGCCTCACAAAAAGGCCATGGCAGGGGGACATGTGTTCCGAAATGTCCACTTTGACTACAGTCCTGCCGGGCTGGCAGTTCACAGAGGGGGACACTTCGATGCACCTGTTCAGTTCCTGCGGCGCCTGGACCTCTCGGAGCTGCTCACTCACATCCCCAGGCATAAGCTCAACACTTTCCACGTGCGGATGGAAGACGACGCCCAAGTGGGCCAGGGCGAGGAGCTGCGCAAGTTCATTCTTGCGGCCCTCAGCGCCAGCCATAGGAACGTTGTCAACTGTGCCCTGTGCCACCGGGCACTGCCCGTGTTTGAACAGTTCCCACTGGTGGATGGGACTCTGTTCTTAAGTCCCTCGAGACACGATGAGATTGAATACGATGTTCCTTGTCACCTTCAAGGTATAGGTGTTCATTCACCTTGCCTGCTTTCTGTTTGTTAAAATTCAAACTGCCTGTTATATTCAGAGGGCAAACAAGGCAGAAATTTTTTGTCTCGCCTTAAAGTGAACTGGTGGTGTTACTGAGTGATTGAGTGAGTGAGTGAGTGAGTGATTTGTCGCAGGCAGGTGCGAGGTAACATCTGGCTATTTCAGCTTCCCCAGGCAGGCAGTGGTGGTGGCTTTACTGTATGTCACTGTACCGAGTAGACCTGTCCTGGTGGGAAGTTTTATGTGCTCTTTCTGTCTGATTTGAAGAGAGTTAGTTTGTCATAAATGGGAGGAAACCTAGCGAAGGAATTATGTAGTTGCCTTTTGCTGTGAAATAGTTATCTTTGAAACCTGTTTAATATGCCCAGCAAGCTGTATACTGTGCTTAATCCTTTCAAATCTGTGAGGAATGGTAGGGATCAGAAAGGGCCATGGTGGTTTTAGATTAAATTAATTTTGAAATGACAGAAGATGGTTTTGATGGAAGAAAAAAAAAAACCAGTAGAGAATAATGGGAGCTTAGGATGTTCCTGTGGTGGGGCAAGCTCACTCCTGTGGCTGAGATGCCACGGTGTGGGTCCCTCTGAACTGTGAAGCAAATGACAGAGTCGATGAGTACAGGGGAGAAGTCTGCATTTATGAGAAACTGCTGAACATGCCATAAAGAGGAGATGTGTGACTTCTGACGTGGGTGTGGCTTTAAAACCCTGCAGTGAAAATGGTAGAGCCCCACCTATCTGCTGCCTGCCTGCTCCCGCTGTCTCAGGCCCCAGAGACTCTTTTAGATCTTAACTGATTCTTCTTCAAGTTTGTAACATCCTAATTTTAAAGATTTCATTCTCGTTCTCCAATCTTAACCATTACCTGTTGAATTCCAAGGCAGATGGGTACATGTCCTCTTTTCCTTTTTTTTGGTATAATATATTTCAATTCTTGATCCAATTGTCAATGTTTTTACTGTTGTTTGTAACTGTTTAGTGTTGAGCCAAGTGTAGGTACAGAAGGCAATCCAGGGCATCTGTTGTTTCTTTGAATTGCTTCATTACCTTAGGGCTCACTGCTTCTTTTTCCTTTTCCTTTTTTTTTTTTTTTAAACATTTTGACTAGTTATTCTTACTCTACGACAGCTTTGCAAACCATCTTTCAAAAACCTTCCCACAGTGGGTGGGTGTTTGGCCCAGTGGTTGTAACACAGGTTAGGGAGCCAGTGTCCCATGTGGAGCTACCAGAGTTCAATACTGCACTTGAGCTTCTGCACCCAGCTTCCTGTAGGTGCGAATGCAAGGACAGCAGTGATGACTCAAGTCAGTTGGTTCCTGCTGGCCACGTGGGAGACCCAGATTGAGTTCGCAGCTGCTTGCTTTTGGCTCAGTCCAGCTCTACAGGCATTTGGGAAGCAAGCAGTGGGTGAGAGCTTTCTTCTCCTGACCCTTCTCCTTTCCCCTATCTCTTAAGTAAAGAAATTTAAGGAATAAAGGCAACCACAATAACAAAAAACTTTTCACACTACTTCCAGATGTTTTTTTGGGGAAAAAAGGTCTTTTTTTGAAGATATTCCTCATGCTGTCTTTCATTCAGTCACTCCCACTGGTCCTCGTGCACTCAGGGACTACCATACTGTATATGAAGTCTCTTGAAAGCTTTGTGGGACATGTGGTTAAAAATGTGAGTTTATTTTTATATGATTTTTTTTCAAATCCATATATAGTTTCTCTGTCCTATACCTTTTCTACAGTTTTGAAAAAAGTACTAAAATAAACATATATGAAATTCTATTTCCCATGAACTAACTTTTTTTTTTTAAGATTTTTTTCTTTTAAAAGAGTTGCCAAGAGAGAAATAGAGAGATCTTCTGTTTGTAACCGCCATTGTTTACCAGTTAGAAGCCAAGCACCAGGAGCTTCTCCTGGTCACCCCTGTAGTTGGGCCACCTTCTGCTGCTCTGCCAAGCCATTGGCAGGGCTTGGGTTGGAAGTTGAATAGTCAGGACACAAACCAACACCTATATGGGATGCCGGCATTATGGGTGGCAGCTCTGTCTGTGAAGCCAGTGTGCTAGCTCCTTCCAACTTGTAACTGTCCTTCTGGGAAAGCCTTTATTTTTTCTGTTTTAAATATATCTTTTCTTAGATCTCGTGTTTTCTCTTTTCTTGGTTTGTTCCCTGTTGGTGGACATCCCACAGGGGCCTTCTGAAATAAGAAGCATGGCAATAGATGATTGGAGACTTTGGAAGTCTTCAAGTATATGAATTCCATCCTTACACATGATTAGCTGGGTTTAGTCTTCTAAATTTTAAGTGTTTTGCCCATTCTTTGGTTTCTGCTATCTCAGTGTGCTCCTGTTGAAAAGTGTAATGCTCACCTCTGTCCCGGCTTCCACCGTCACGCCTTCCCTTACTGCGCATGTTTTTCTTATATCTCTGCTATCCTGAAAGTCCCTCAGGATGGACTGTCTCTCCCTTTTTTCCATCTTCATTCTTTGAGCTGGGTACCCTCTTGGCCTTTCATATATAAACTTTAGGTCAAATGTTTAGAGAAATGTTCTTTTGAATTACTTCTTTGATAATCTTATTTATTTATTTATTTAAAATGGAAGCTCAGATTTACGGGAAGAAAGACATAAGGAGAGAAAGATCTTTGATCTGCTGGTTCACTCCCCAAGTGACCACAGTAGCTGAAGCTGAGCTGATCTGATGCCAAGAGTTAGGAGTCAGGAGCTTCTTCCAGGTCTCCAAGCAGTTGTAGCGTCCCAAGGTTTTGGGCCATTCTCAACTGCTTTCCCAGGTCACAGATGGGGAGCTGTGTGGGAAGTGGAGCAGTCAGGACGTGAACTGGTGCCCATAAGGGATCCCAGCACTTGCAAGGTGACAATGAACCATCAAGCCATCATGCTGGGCCCGCTTTGATAAGTTTAAACAAAAAGTCAATGGGGCTCCTGTTAATCAGACATTGGACTACTTAAGTTGCTCCTTTTTTTAAGGTGGTGGGGAAAGAAGACTTTATTATATAAAATATGCTTGATTCTGCTGTTGGCTGTTTATCTTTGGCATGGTGGAAGATTTCCTCTAGTGTATATATTTCAAACTGAGTTCAAGGTGTTCTGTTCTCATATATTTAATGTCTAACGGCTCCTATTAATAATGTTGGGTTCTTGTTTCATGGTTGTCAACTTGTTTTCTCTCTCTGAACAGAGAAAGAGAACCAAAGTCTCATTCGTTTGGACAGTTTTACCTTTTTATTAGCCTTGTATGTAAAGCAGAACCCTCCACAATGTAGTGATTTAAAACAGTAATGACTCAAAAACTTGTATCACCTCTATGGGTTGGTTGGTTAAGACAGCCTGTTATACACAGCTGGTCGTCAGCTGACTGGTTGGCCATGGAGGACTGAGCTGGGATGGTTTCCATATCCAGTGGAGCCTTTCACCTTGCAGAGGTTGGCTCGGGCTTCCTACCATGGCTGTTTTAGCATTCATGCATGTAGGAGCTCACACTAGGGGCATAAGCATGGCGTTGTAATGCCGGTCCCATTCTGTTTGTTGACTGAGTCGTCAGGCTGGCCCCAGTTCAGGGGATATTCTGCTTCCTGACACGAGAGCTGTGTGGACACGTATGGTGGTCTGTAACCTACCACTCCCCCTTCGTTTCCTTGCAGCACCTCATCCCACCTCCCCCAAGTTTGTTGTCTGGTTCCAGAGGAGCTATTAACAGTTGCCATTCTCCCATGATTTCTGGCCTTGGGTATGCTTGGTTTAGGTTGTGTGTGCCTCATTGTTATACCAAAGATAAAGTTCAATTATTTTTTTTTCTTTATCCCATTGTAGAATGTTTTTGAGGGAAGTGGGTGAAGCACCTTCATTCCTCTAATCACAGAGTTTGAGCCTTTCTTTATGAAGAAGAATGTGAGTGCATAAAAACAGGTCACAGGAGAGTAATACATTTTCTTCCTTTTAAAGATTTGTTTTGTTTATTTTAAAACAGAGTTATAGATAGAGGGAGAGACTGAGAGGTCTTCATCTGCTGGTTCACTCCCCAAATGACCAAAATAGCCCAAGCCAGGTCAGGTGAAGCCAGGACTAGGAGCCGCTTCTGGATATCCCATGGGATGCAGCAGCCCCAGCACTTGGCCTATCCTCCAAGGTGCATTTGCAGGGAGCCAGATTGGAAATGAAACAGCCAAGACTCAAACTGGTACCCATAATGGATGCTGGTTGGCATTGCAGGCAGTGCCTTAATAGGCCATGCCTCAGCACCAGTCCGTGGTAGTAGTGTTTTTCTACTCACAGTAGACAGGTTGTTCTGATGTAGTTCATCCCTCAATTGATAAAGCTTTCAATTTAATGTGTGTCATGTACTTGTAGTCCTTACTTACCTTAAGTTTATGATATCATATAAGATGCTCTTGTAAAATAGAGGCACATTTTAATATGTTTATAAAATCTTAAAGCAGAAGTCATACAGGGGGCTACATTTTGATACACAGAAAGGCTGGCAGTGTCAGCTATTTGCTGGTAACAAGAGTGAGTGATGTGGTTAAAGAAACAGAACAGGTTGTGATCTAGAGATAAGGAGAGCACATGCTAGTTTGGAGCTGGGGTGGAATAGTACAGCTCCCTTGGCAAGCTGGCTGTGATCTTTGTGAATATTACCTGCATGGTTTTCAACATTTTAAAAGGTAGGGGGAGTTGCTTGAAAGGACTAAGACCTAGAGACAAAGTTGAAACGTTTATGAGTTCCAGTGAGAGACTGTTGAGGTGTGAAATGGCCATGGGCTGTGTCTGCAAGGTGTGATCCTCAGGGAAAATAGCAGCTTTGGGGCCACTTGACTGTGGAGGACACATGGTGACTGACTCAAGAGCGCCAAGTAGTGTTGTCACAGGCAGGAGTGGAGAAAGTTGGGAGAAGGATATAATTTTCGAGGGAAGATGAGGGCACTTGGGGTTGTTGGTCTGTAGAGTCGCTGGGACTTGCATGGCACTGTCTGAAAAGCACTGTGTTTTAGAAATGAGCACTTGGAATGGACTCAGAGGAGCCTTTTTATTTCTTCTTGTATTATTATTATTTTATCTAACAGTGGAGGTTAAAAGCTTCAGAGTTGAAGAACCTTGGGTGTAGAGAGAAAAGGGTTGTGACAGCTCAGGACAAATCTTGAGGCTGTTGAAGAAATGGATAAATAAAGAGGTGAAAATTAGGCCTGACTGTGTGTGTAAACATATAAACACAAGTAGATGAGGGCTGTGTTGGCGACACACTTCCAAGGCTTTCAGAAGCTGAGCTGTTGATTATGGGCTTGGAAGATCCAGGTGTGTAATCAGTGGGTGAGTCCTTAGTACCGCGAGGAAGGCCCCCGGGCATGGGGCAGTGTTGAAGCCTGGGAAAGCTTACTCAGAGAGGCTGCTGTCAGTCATTTGTTCTGTTACAGAGCACCAGCCTGGCTTGCTGTGGCCCAGCAGAGTCCGGGCCACAGGATGCCACAGTTTGCTGCTGATTACATGTGCTCCAAGACTGACTGACGGTGGCGGACCCTGGTGCATTGTTCTCTCGCCTTACTTCTTACCCTTCCCTGCCCTCCCCTCACCACCCCTGCCCCTGTAATCTGACACATCTCTGAGGAAGTGTTTGGTTTGGTTTTAATAAATTATTAAGACTGTTTTAGTCAGGACATTCTTACTGGGCTGCTTCACCGCTTGGAACCGCAGGCAATTGTTTTCTTAGGATCTGCTTTTTGCTCAAACTCCCAAAGAAAAACCTGGGCTAGGGTTTAGACATTCTGAAGTCTAGGCACTTAGGGTCTGTGTAATAGCAACGGAAAACAAGTCCTGAGACTCAGTTTGGGCGAGGCACTCCCAGGAGCTTGCCTGCAGGCCAAGGGTCAGATCCCAGTTTGAGTTGGACTTGGCTACTTACTATCTTTGTGTGCTTGGGCAAACGGCTGAAGTACTGTAAGCTTCACTTCCTCCCGGTGATGTGTGGAGACAGTAATGCCTGCTTGGTAATGCTGCTGTGAGAGTTAAGGAAAGAGTGGCCCCCAGAGCTTGCAGCACAGCACAGATCCTTGGTCAGTACTCTAGCTGAAATCATGTGTGGTGCACAACATTATGGTCATTTTTGTTCCTCACCTGACTTGTGTGCCCCCCCTGACCTTCCCTCTGCCTAGCAGCAGCTGTGTGCCATTGAGAGTTCTAGGGTGCCACAAATGAGGTATGTTCCAATGGTGGCCGTGGTAAGTAGGCTCCTTCCACCGTCAGTGTCTTAGAGCAGCAATAGGCAGTCCTGCAAGCAACTCTTGTAGCTCTCCTGTTTTGTCGTAGAGGCCCCCTAAGGTTATAGTGTCTTTTGTGGTTAATGTGTCTTATTAGCCTTAAGGTGCTAGTGAATAATACAGGAATGAGGCAATGACTTTTAAAAATGCAGTAAATAATAAGTTGTTGGTTTCCTTTTAATAAAAGATTTACAGATATGATACATTTCTGCTTGCTAAATTAGATGTGATGGCTGGGAAATCTAGGAGACGAGGGCAGATTAATGCAGTCGTGTGACTGTAGTGCAGTGCTGGGCTATCAATACTGAGACTTTTTAACCTTTTTTTTTTATGGGAATTGATGGGTAGCCCACTTTCGTCATATGCATGCTTCTGAGCAGGATGTCCCGGTTTTGAGCCTGTGGCACTCTATTTAAATCTGGATGCACATAGTATGTAAACCCAGCAATAATTTTTGGAAAATCAAATTGAAACAAGTGTTTAATAAGCTTGAGCTACATGTTTTGCTGCCAGAAGTTAATGATTCATCTTTAATCTGAAGGTCTGCTTGGGAATATAGGAGAATTATCAACAGCTTCCTATTTACATAAATGATAAGGTACTTGTTTACCATTGGTGGATGAGGCCTGCGGAGATGAAGTGCGGTGTGGCGATGGCCGCTCTGAGCCTGGTGCCTTCTCTCTCCAGGGAGACTGATGCACCTGTACGCAGTGTGTGTGGACTGCCTGGAAGGAGTTCACAAGATCATCTGCATCAAGTGCAAGTCGCGATGGGATGGCAGCTGGCACCAGCTGGGCACCATGTACACCTATGACATCCTGGCTGCCTCTCCCTGTTGTCAGGTTGGTATTGAGCCCACTATGTGGGCAGGAGGTAATAAACAGTAGCCTTGTGTCACCAAGTACATGCAGGGGCCTTGCCTCGGAGAAGATGCTTCCGAAAGAAGGAATTAAGTCTTGAAATACCGCCAGAGTGCAGCAGAGGTGGCTCATCTATAGTATGGCCATTGAATGGAATGTCACTCAGTCATTAAAAGGGATATTGTAGAATAAAATAAACTATATGGGAAATGCTTTCCATTTATGAGAATGCCTCAAGAAGTTTATGAAATATGGATTTGAAAATTTATTTTGGTTCAAAAAATTTTGAAATCCATGCGTAGATCTCTTATAATGCACATTTTTCATGAACTTTTTAAAGAGCCCTAGGAAGCCAGAAAAGCAGGTTATAAAAGGGTGTAATAATATGGTTGTATTTTTAGATAAGCCAGCTTTCCCGGGGACCGGCCCTGAAGTTAGTGTGTATCTTTTGTTTGTTTGTTTGTTTTTCAAAGCATTGCTAAGAGGCCAAGGAAGACAGCACCTGAGAGTTAGCTGTCTGGAAAAGAGGGATGCACGCATTCATGAAAGCTCATTAAATGATCTGTGTGAACACAGGGGCTGAAGCACAGAGATACTGTGGCTTATTTTGAAGTGCTTAAGGAAAAAAAATAGCCTGTTATTTCTTGGATACTTGCAGATAGAGGATAAATTTTCATTTTCTCTGTAGCTGCCAAGTCTAGCTTGTAATTAGTAATGCATACTTTATTAGTTATTACATGACTTGCATCTGTAGCATTATAGTTTGTTTAAGAGATAATTCCCACTATCATTAGCTCATTCTAAAGATGAGCCGTGTCTGTTGAAAGGAAGAATTGCCAAAGTTAGTGTTTTAGCTGTATTTTGTCCACGCCAGTATTCTTCAGAGGAGCAGTCGGGCTGTAAGAGACTTACTTACATAACCGTCCTGTCCTGTCCTTTGCTTCTAGCAACATGTGATTAATTTTATGCTGTTCTAATAAATCAATTACATTCTCAATTTTTAAATGAGATATTACACTCTTTCAGTTATTCCCGGTGGCATTTTATGATGCTTACTGTGCCCTGATACCAGCTCTCGAGATCCAGAGGAAACCAAAGCAAGGAGTTCCTTTCTGGCACATCATCGTATCGTCTGTTTAACCTGAAGAAGAAATAGGAAGGAAAAGAATGTTGGGTATATCCACTCGGAGAATCTGAGTACTGCACAGAGAGCCTAGAAATCCGAATGGTTTACACCTTGCACCTTGTATCATGGGTGTGAGCAAAACACAGCATTCCCATTCTGGTATTTTTTTAAAATATGCTTTTTTTAAAAAAAGATTTATTTATTTCTTTTTTAGAAAGTCAGATATAGAGAGAGGAGGAGAAACAGAGAGGAAGATCCGTCCGATGGTTTACTCCCCAAGTGACTGCAACATCCGGTGCTATGCCGATTCGAAGCCAGGAGCCTGGAACTTCTTCCAGGTCTCCTACCTGAGTGCAGGGTCCCAAGGCTCTGGGTCATCCTAGACCGCTTTCCCAGGCCACAAGCAGGGAGCTGGATGGGAAGTGAGGCTGGCAGGATTAGAACCGGTGCCCATATGGGATCCTAGCGTGTTCAAGGTGAGGACTTTAGCTGCTAGGCCACTGTGCCTGGCCCTAAAATATGCTTTAAAAGAAAAATGATAGTTGGGTTTTTCCTGTATCTAAGGGAGAAAAAATGCAAGGGCATCCTGCCACATTAAGCCAGTTGGTACTAGCTGTGTTCTATATATTTTTTTTCATTAAAGCATGATAAGCCCAGGTCTATATTTCCTGGCCTAGAACTGAAAATGCAAACATACTTGATTATTGGGGTGTGTGAGTGAGACAGAAAGAGAGAGAGAGAGAGTTAGTTGACTGCTTATTGTAAAGTATAAATGTTAGATAGTACTAAGGAATCAGAAGTATTCCAATAAGACTGAGCCAAAAATGAACAGTAATTGATTATTGGAAAGGAATAACAGGTTAAAGACAGGTTTGCTTGAACTCTCACCTTTACTGTTGTAAGCAATAAAGCAATTGAAGGGAAGATGATCTAATGTCATGGAGAGTGGGCTGTGGGACAGGCCACTTGGCTTTCAGTCAGCATTTCTGCCTTCTGCCCCCTGGGATCCTGAACATAGTTCTTTGTATCCACGTGCCTCAACTGAATCATCTAAAATTCACAGGGTCCCGCCTGCTTCACAGGTTTTAAGACCCCATTTTCTAACTTCATCTTTAGAATGACTGCAAATTGAAAGTCTGTTTACTTATGCTATCCGGTTTCTCATTGAAATCCTGAATCCTTGGCTCTGTGACTGTGCTGTCAAGGAGAAAGCCTGCAGAGATGCACTGGAAAGTGCTGAGAGAGTCCGTAAGTCTCAGGATAAACACAGCACTTATCCAGGCTGCCAGTGAGAAGATTTTGGGAAACATTTATTTTTACATCACAGGGACTGTTAAGTAGAGTTAAAGATGTGTGTGATTCTTTTTTTTTTTTTTTTTTGAAAGTCAGATATACAGAAAGGAGGAAAGACAGAGAGGAAGATCTGCTGTCCATAGATTCACTCCCCAAGTGGCCACAATGGCCAGAGCTGAGCCGATCTGAAGCCAGGAGCCGGCAGCCCCTTCCAGGTCTCCCACATGGGTACAGGTTCCCAAAGCTTTGGGAGCTGGATGGGAGGTGGGGCCTCCAGGACGTGAACCAGTGCCCATATGAGATTCTGGTGCATGCTAGGTTAGGACTGTTAGCTGCTAGGTTTCTGCACCAGACACCAATTTTTAAAAGAAACTCAGACCCTTCAAAGGAATTTCACGCCAGCTAGGCTAGACTTGGGGTACGCTCTTGCCACTCTGAAATGCAGGAGGCAGGGGAGAGGGTAGACGTCACGGTGCAGCACGTTAAGCCATCGCGTGTATACTCACATCCCACTTCAGAGTGTTGTCCGGAGATCTGGCCCACCTGCTGTCTTTCACACTCTTGCTCAGATAAATGAAAATAATGTAATGTGCATGTAATATTTTTTTTATCCAGGAAATAAGAAGTTCTTACTGCTGAGGGGTCTTTCCTGGACAGTTAGGAGTCCTAGTTTAGGGTTTTCCTTTTGCTGGCGAGTGGGAAGATGAGCAGCGTTGCGTATCAAGAGAGAGACTCAGAGCCGCTCATCGTGCACATCGATGAGGCGTATTTCATCATGTATCTTACACTTTGCATATCCAGTTTTTGATCATGCAGAACATACTGTACCAAACCATTGGTCAGCTCCCCAGGGTGTTTGCTTGGAGGACTAACTCAGTCTGTGTCTCCTGCAGGCCCGCCTGAACTGTAAGCACTGTGGGAAGCCCGTGATTGACGTGCGGATTGGGATGCAATACTTCTCCGAGTACAGCAACGTCCAGCAGTGTCCACACTGTGGGAACCTGGACTACCATTTCGTGAAGCCATTCTCCTCCTTCAAAGTTCTCGAAGCTTATTGATGAAAGCTTTGCTTTAATAATAGCTATTTTGTTTACTTTATTACATATCTTTTATAGGGCACCATTCTGTGTCATCCATTTCTTTTCTAACTTGAGGGAGAGTTTTGTTGTGTATGCGTGTGTGGGTGTGTGTGTGTGTGTGCGTGCGCCACTGAAACTGGGCTTGCCTCTTGCCCTGTCTTGATTCCCGAGTGCTAGTGTGTGTGGTCATGATCAGTGCACTGGTGAGTAAGCCTGAGGGTTTCTGAATCTCAGATGTAGCTTCATGGTGGTGGGGAGAATGGGACAGATTTAGCAAAGGAGTTATGTGACTGACTAAAAGCATGACAAGAGTTGGGAGGGAACTCTTAATACAATGTTAGCTTTCCTAAGATCCGCTGTTAGATCTTCCCAGAGCTTGGGAACGATATGAGACAAGTGAGTACCAGTGCTGGAGACCCCGTGGTGTGTTGGTCTGCGTCGGGCGTTCTGCAGCCTCTCTTAGCACCTGGTTCACTCTCACTGACAGAGGATTTGCAAGTGGACATGGGTGCTCAGTCTTCCACTGTTGTGATTAAAGAGCTTTTCATACTGAAAGCAATATCTAAGTTGTAAGATGTACAAAAGCTATTGGCATTGTGAGTGGTGAGTAAACAGAACACACGTGAAGTGAATTTGCAGATAATGCACACAGCCTCAAAGGCACACAAGGCAGAAATCCATCGTTTGAGTTGTGTTTTGAATTGTTCAGAATAGTTTTTAAGGAGAACCCATAAGCAGTATGACTTGGGTGGTGGTGATTTATACGGCCCGTTTCATTGAAGTGCCATTGAATGTCCGCGCCTTCTCACAGGTAAATCTCAGAGCTACACAGAACCAAAAATTGCCATGCTGTTCTTCCTCAAAATTGCTTCTGGCCACTTTTAACCCTGGCTTAATACTGAGTTTCCACAGTCCAAGGTTTAACCTTAGAAAGGAAAGGAAAGAAATTGAGAAAATGATGAAGAGAATAATAATTTTAATACTTACTTCAAGTATATTCCATTTTTTAAAAGCACTGATTGTCCTGTATAACACTGTAATTTAAAAACCAGATCATTCTAAAGATCCCTATGACACTTTACTGTTGCTGAAAACATGATCATATATAGAATTTGACTAGTCAGAGCATGGACATTCTAAAATTCAGTGTTCTGTTTATTAAATCTTAGTAACTGAAACAGACTGCCACCCCATACCCCAATAGAATTATAATTGGAATATGACTTCTTCAACATGAATTTGCAAGTTTCACATATGATGTGTACACAGGTCTTCCAGAAGTTCCTGGAAATGCTAGTAGGAAAAATGACGTGTGGATTTCACATTGCTTAGAACTAAAATAAACACTTAATTCCATTTCCCATGAACTTTTTGAAGTGTCTTTGTTTATATTTTAAAAATGCTGAGAAGAATCATTTTATGGATAGCCATATTTAGGATACATGCCAACATTTCATATTTCTCATTTGGATGCTGCCAGTTTTTTCCTCTGTGTTCTTTACTTTCAGAAGTAATTAGGCCTTACTGTAAGTTTCCCTTCTCCTACTCAAAATATTAGATATTTTGTTTGAAATAACATAGCATTCATGTACCAACTTATCAAATGATATTCATCCTTCAGTCTGAATTGGTATTTGGTTTGCTGCATCTGAAGAGTGTTTCTCAGTGAGGGGACAGTCAGAATGCCTGTGGGAAGCCAGGAACCACCGATACCATCTCATGCAGCTCATGCAGAGGTCTGTGGGATGTAACCTTGCAAATCTGTGTGTAATCTAAAAAGCTGTAATTGTAAATTAATTATTGGATCAATTAATACTTTGACCTACCCAAGTCTAAAAAATTGGTTCCTCTTATCTTCTTGGTTTTTACTTGTGAATTTAAAGTAATCAAATATTTGTGGTGCTGTCCTTAACCTACTTCAGTTTTTGCAGTGAAACGTGCTTGTATCATTCTGAAGCTTCAGGTTGGTCTGTACACTGCATTTCAGCTAAACTGCTGCAGGCCCGGTGTGTCTTGTGCTCCACTTTGTCTCATTAGATTCTTTTTCTGCCCTCCTGAAAAATAAGTATGATGGGGTCTCATCATAATTGGCTAAAATTCACTTAGATGTTAATTTGATGATATTATCATTCTATAAATGCAACCAGCGACTTACATAAAAGAGGCTTAAATATCATACCTGAAAATCTCTTGTCTTTCAGGTATTATCAAAGAGAACATCTGGCTGGTTTGAGAATAAAGATGATTAAGTACACAAAACTGTGATGATAAATCTTATTTTAGAAATTGTCTGGCTAGTGTTTTCCCCTGGCTTGCCTTGAGGACCTTGATCAGAATGGAGACGAGTCTAGAGGGTTCTGCTGTGGCTGGGATACTGACAGGCACCGTTGCCAAGACCCCGAGTCTGGGAAATGGCTCTCAGGAGCATGAAGCAGGGAGAAACCAATAGTTTCAAAATGGATTTTCATCCACTCTAATTTGTTTTTACTATTCATTTGTAAGAGTTCTATACCTTGAACAAATCAGACTATCTAGTTTATTGAAAAGAAAATTGTGCTCATATTCAGGATACCTGAGTACTTCGCCTTTTTCTGGCTATATCTAAGCAGTTGGCATACTGGATTCTTTCTTTAAAAGAGAGATGTTGTGCTGTGAAATCGAGGAATTCATGAATTAACCCATTTAATTAGAAAAGGGCTTTTCTCAGACACCCTTTTAACTTCTAGTTTAAGAGAAGTTCATCTTCTGAGGGAAAAAAAATGGTTATTTACATATTGATTTGAGGAAAATTAACTCATTAGGAATATTATTAAATGTTTATTCCCTAAAATTAATAGACTGATATGCATTTTAATCAAATCATTTAATCTGTCTTCTGATATCTTACTTAGTCCTGCAAGACTAATGTGGTGTCGTCTCCTGTACCCAGGTCCTATACTCCGTTTTGCTCTTCTGTTTAGTCTCCAGGATGCAGGTCTTCAGTCATTGGAGTTGGAGACTGGGGAGGAGGTGAGGGAAAATGCTCTTGTTTGGTGTTTTCCTTCCTGTAGTAGGATGCGCATAATTCACTCATCTCCATGTCCTATTGACTATTTCAATCCCAGGTAATTGAAAGGAAATGTAACTGATGGGCATCATTAAAACCAACTCAAAAGAATATTCACATCAGGAAAGATTTCTTTTAAAGATATCTTGGATTGCACTTTCATTGAGAGGAAACAGTGTAAATAGTTGAAGAATGTTGATGAAATTGAAACACTTGGTAATGGAATTGTGTGGTGATGGACGGTTTCTGTGAAAATGTGTGTATTAAAAACAATAAAATTGCAGAAACTGACACTGTGCTTTGTTTTTTCTTTTTGTTGGTGTTTTTGAGCCATGGGATTGTCTGGTTAGAAGATGGTAAGCAGTAGAGATTCTATAGTTTTGGCCTCTGTTCAGGTAACTATTTCAAAATTACTACTATAGTTAATCACAACTATAGATTTTTATTGGTGAGTGCAGGCCATGTATCCTCTCTGCCTTCCCTCCACAGCGAGAGAAGGATTCTGAAAAGCAAAGCTGATTTCCTATGCAAAACCCAGAGTTAATTGTGTTGGTTATGGTAACTGCATTGAATAAATTCTAGTAAAGTAAATATGGAGGCACAGGTTGTATTTACCCACCCCAAAGGCCACCATCCAGAGATGTGCTGCCAAAACCAGGCATCCTGAGTACTCTCACTCACTCTCATCTTTAAGAAGATGTAAGCTTTATGGCCTGGTTGTCATGATTCAGTGATATTAAAACAAATAACCACAGACAAGTCAACTTAAAGGAATGTTAATTTATGTAACAGCCAATAACAAGAGAGGGCAAAATACTTCTTCCTGAGTTAACGCTTTATAAAGGAGACTGTTCTGAGCTGGGCTTCTTAAGCATTTTGGGTTTGAAGCCTCATAGTTTTAAATTTTTTTCTGTTTTGTTTAGGATTACATAATCTTAGTTTTCATAATGAAATGATCCAGTTGCTAACTATGGCGAAGGGAAAATTGAGTCATAAACTTGCTGACCCCATATACTGTGATTAAGCGTAGTTTCTTTATTTTTAAAATCTTTTTGTTGGGCCAGGCGCGGTGGCCTAGCAGCTAAAGTCCTCGCCTTGAACATGCTTGGATTCCATATGAGTGTTGGTTCTAATCCTGGCAGTCCTGCTTCCCATCCAGCTCCCTGCTTGTGGCCTGGGAAAGCAGTCGAGGCCCAAAACTTTGGGACCCTGCACCTGTATAGGAGACCTGGAGGAAGTTCCTGGGTCCTGGCTTCCCATCTGTGCAGCTGCAGCCGTTACAGTCACTTGGGGAGTAAATCATTGGACAAAAGATCTTTCTCTCTGTCTCTCCTCCTCTCTCTATATGTGACTTTCTAAAAATAAATAAATCTTTTTTAAAAACTTTTCTGTCCCCTAAATTTCAGATTATTTTAGCCATTGGATTGAAATGTAAGGACACTTTAGAACAGAGGTAAGATGGGGATGACGATGGGCGGGCTCTGGGGGCTGATGTATGGAAAACCTGTGCTGCCACTAACTGACTGCAGGTGCTTAAGGCTTAAATTCTGTTTAGATCCTAACAGACTTGTGATCTTATTTCCGCAATGTGATTGATATCAACAGAATTTCTTCTTAGTTCTAAACAAAATTTAATTCTTAACTACAGTAGGAAGAAAATTTTAAAAGTTAGACAGTAATTAAGAATTCCATATCTGGAAATCTTTTGTCTTCACTTTAAATTTGTCAAATTCAGCACCAGTTAGATTCCTAAGAATGTAAGCTGTTTAATCAAGAGTTAAATTTTAGAAGGAAAGGAAATAAAGTTTGTCCTTTTTCTGCTCTCTCTGCTCCATGCTGAGATAAACCTTTTGTGAAATCTTGGGAGACAGTCAAGTGTTCTAATGTTTGTAGTAACAGTGTGTATTTAAGATACACTTTTCTTCTAGTGGGAGCTTTTAGCATTGCGATGATTATGTAAGTTTGATCTGACATTACTAAGCCTCTGAGCTAGCAAAAGTAAAGCACTTTGTCTCATGGAGTTTAGCAGAAAAGCGCCGGTTACTTATGTTGGTGCTCAGATGAAATTGGCCTCCATAGCACAATTTTTGGTGATGGGCACCCTGTCATATGTTCTGATAGGCTTAATGAAAAGTTGAGATGGGGCCCAGCATGGTAGCCTAAGTGGTTAAAGTCCTCACCTTGCACATGCTGCAATCCCTTGTAGGCACTGGTTCTAATCCCGGAGGCCCTGCTTCCCATCCAGCTCCCTGCTTGTGGCCTGGGAAAGCCGTCGAGGACGGCCCAGAGCCTTGGGACCCTGCACTCATGTAGGAGACCTGGAGGAAGCTCCTGGCTCCTGGCTTTGGATGGGCGCAGCTTCAGCCATTGTGGCCATTTTGGGAGTGAATCATTAGATGCAGGATCTTCCTCTCTGTCTCTCCTCTCTGTATATCTGCCTTTCCAATAAAAGTAAATAAGAAATCTTTTTAAAACTTAAAGAAAAAATAAAATAAAATAAAAGTCAGAGGTAAGCTGATGCTCTCATTCTGGGCACATGGCCGGTGTTGGTTTGAATGGATTCTCTACTGATTCTGCGATGAACTGCAGCCCAGAAAATCTAAATCTACGTAAATTCGAATTGTTCATGGCTAATTAGAAATTAAATCTGGATTCCATCTCCTAGTCCTCAAAATGGAATCTTCGGAAATGCTCAGCCCCTCGCTGTGGCTTAGAGAGGGCTGTCCGTAGTGTGTTTCGGTGTGGCCCACTGACTTTGGCTACTGCTTCCAGGCAGGCTGCCTGGGGCGAACTTGCAGACACAGATTTCTACGCCTGAACTCAGCTTTATCCACAGCCCACGTGTACGCTTCTATCCTGAACTTCCCTTAACTATTGGAGTTCGTTACGTCTTTCATCATCTTCATTCTGTATTTTCTGATTTCATTTCCATTTCTTAATGTGAACAGGTGACAGACCTGGGCGCCTAATGAGTGGGCAGTTAGTGTAAATTGGAAGAACATGCCGAATGCAGGTACCTCAGGTACCAGGTGTAAAGAGAAAGTGATGCACTTCATTTGTTGAGCATACGAGTTCAAAGGATCGCGTTGAATATAAAAACAGAATAGTGAGTGCCCAGAAGTGACACGAGCCAGTGGGTGAGGAAGGCACATTCCTAAGAAACCAGTTTCTTGTAAATACCAGTGCGACTTGGTTTTCAGGGGAGAGGTGACCTGGGTGTGTTTTGAGGGAGCTGGCCCCGTTGCTGCAGCTCAGGTGCTGATCAATAGCATTGGTCTGGAAGGCCTCAGCAGGCACCCTGCCCAACGGTAGCACGCATGCTCAGTCCATTCCCACCTCGCGGTGGAGTGAGGACGAGTAACCTCTACAAAGACATCTGTCCCCCCACGGTTCTGGAGGCGAGGCAGTCCAAGAGAGACACTGGTTGCCAACACCTGGGTTTTTGAGGGTACATTCAGACCATAACCAACATTCCCTGTTTCTAGAAAGAAAAAACAAAAGCATTTTCTAAAGGGAAAGGCAATATTTGAAATCAATAATTTTGCCTCACCTCATTTTTTATGCATTGATTTAGAGACATTTCTTGTTAAGGTACATAGATAATTGCTTGGGGTTATAAAGGACTTTTTTTCACAGTCTACTCTGAAAAATTGTCATTTTATTCCCCTCAGGATCTAACTGTTGAGGTATTTTTATATTTAAACTTGCCGAGCTGTCAGATTCGATAAGGTGGATTTGTTTGGTTTGGGCAGTTTTCACTTACAACTGACTTTTCAAACAGTTGCTCTGAGTATATTTCAGTTTCTGTTTCTCACAGTTTTGTCTGAAGTTCTGGTATCTCAGACTTTTTGGCTTGCTAAACCTGCTCACTGATTGCACACAGCCTTCGGGCGGGACAGTGCCGGGTCCAAGGGGCTCTCAGAGAACTGCATATTCTGCTGTTTTAACAGGGCTGTCTTATTAGCTACTTAGCCGTAGTCCAACTTACTGCAGAATCACAGGTTGCCAGTCAGTGTTTTACTGTCTTAAGGTTTTCATCACCTTAACGAATCACTTTATTCTGAGCTCTGGTGATGTGGCAAGTGATTGATAGGGGAAATGAAGCCAGGTGGAGCCTATAAACTCGGAAAACCCCACAGTCAGAGGAGTGATTTGGGCAGAAAGTGGGATATGGGAGTGCAGGGGTTACTGTGAATATTTTCAAATGCTTAATGGAGATCATAAAGGTACCGTAAGGCTGCACAGAGTATCTAAGAGGTCAACTTGCACTTGGCAAGAATTACAACAGCCTTGGTTCTTTTAAGTTGCTCAGAAACACTGCAGTAGCATGATGATTTATGAGAACACAAATGAATTATTACTTCATACATGCTACTTTTTTCCATAAACAACCTTTTAAAATATAAGCAGTTCATATTGAGGGAGGATGGCAAAGTGGAAACAATGCCATTTTTAAAAAGATTTAGTTTATCTGAATGAGTGGTAGAGAAAGGGAGAGACCCAGTAGTTCACTCCTCAGACAGCAGCCAAGGGATGGGCGAGGCCAAAGCCCGGAGCCAGGAAGTCCGTGAAGGTCTTAGCACATTGATATCCCAAGAACTTGGGCCAACATCTGCTGTCTGCCCAGATGGCATTAACAGAAAGCTGGATCAGAAAGAGTATGTTAGCTTTCATTGCCACAAACCCAAAATAGCCAGACATCTTAAGTCACACTGGAGGTCTTTATTTCAGGAACGAAGGTGGCTGCGATCAGCAGAGTGGAAGGAAGGAGAGAAAGAGCAAAGGGAATGTATCCTTTATCTCAGTGGGGCAGGTAGTGGGAGCATGGGGCCGTTAGGGACAGGTGAATTAACTGTCAGGGCCACGGGGCGACCGTGGGGTAGGAGAAGTCTCTGTTTTTGAGGCCTTATGAGGATCCAGGAGCTGACTTAGCAAACTTCTAGAGCATGCAGAACTAGCGGAAGTGAAGAGGTGGGGAGTGCGCATCTAAAATGGCAGGGTCTTATCTAAGTCATGTCCGAGCCGCTCCTCAGAGTAGCCAGAACACCAGCTGGCGTGGGATTTGGGGTGCTAGGGTCCATCACAAGCTGTGGGTTATCCTCTGCACTGAAGATCTGACCCTGGAAAAATGACATTTTAAATAATGTCCTCCAGCTTTTCCTTTTAACTTTTGTGATACTTTCTGTCTTATATTTCCCTGACTTGCCAGTCTCTTTCCTACTGTATCCCTTCTACTATTTCTGTTGCTTTAAGGCTCTCAGCCATCAGAATACAGTCAAAGCCCCCTGGTA